TCAGTAAATTTGATGCAATATTCATGAATTTATAATGAATTTAGTATAGTTAAGTTTTTTTGTCACACACTGTATATAGAGCATAGCTTTAAATTACTTAAAATATTATATTTTTGTGTACTTAAATATATAATATCATTCAAGTATTTCACTTTATAATTATGAATATAATTTTTTGTCACATCTACTAATTTCCTGTTGTGTTAAAAAGACGGGAAAGAAAAACGTAAAAGGACATAGACAGTGCAATAAGAATGGAGCAATAATGATCAACATATTATCTAATAGTTCAATAAATTGAAGAACATTTTTGAATTATAACTATAATACAATGATTCGTATATAGTGCATTTATTTCTATATGTATCTATAAACAGAATTATTTGTGAATAAATATTTCGAGACGTATTAAAAGAACATTGAATCAGTATCCATATAATTCGAAGTCCCATTACGAGCTTTTCTGGCTGAATGTTCACTTCTATGAGTCATAAAACTATGTTCATTTCGCCTATTTCCTTCATCCTCGGAGTCTGATAACTCTGTTTCAGGAACGATATGTGAATCACGTAATCGCTCTGTTCAACAGAAAAATTGATATTTATATGGTATTATAATTAATTATATGCAAAGAAAAGGCTATAAAATGGACACTTACGTGAAATTCGAATATCAGGATCTTCGTCATCAGAGTCATCATTGTCCGATGCATAATTTCTTGGAACCTCTGAATGAACTCGAATATGTTAGAAATATTTACGATAAAAATGTAGAAATCTAAAATTTTATAGATACCCTGCATCTGAACACTAGGTGCAAATGGTATGTGCCTCAAATTTTCAAACACTTTAACTCTAAGGGAAGTACACAGCACTTATTAACATATAAATTAAAAGATGCATAGAATTTTTTATAGTAAATTCAAACTCACCTCATTTCGTTAAGATAAACTGAAGTATTCATATTCTCCATATTATTTGAGGGAACATCCAATTTGTACTCTGGTCCATAATATTCCAAATAATTATTATATGGTAAGTCTATAATATAATGAAATCAGTAAATAGGCAGAGAGAGAGAAACTAAAAAATAATAAGAAATAAAAACACAAAGAATAATTAATTACCTTCTGACAGGTGTTCACCTAGCAGTAGTCCAGTCTCATAAGTCCATACTCGAGCGACATTTCTTATAGTGTATCCACCACCACCAACCACCAATAATGGTAAATCGAAACCTTTAACGAATTCAACACAGGAAGCATGACCTTTCATCGATAAATTAAAGCAACCTAACCGATCTCCTGCTAATGAATCTGCACCACATTGTAATACTATGGCTCCAGGACGATACCAGTCAATAATATGTTGTACTACCTGCAATTTCCATTGACTTCAACAAATTTATTATCATTTTTTACTTGATAATCAATGAGCATATAGATAACATACCGGTCGAAATACATTCTGATAACTCCAGTCATCCATGCCATCTTTTAATGGAAAATTGACTGCATAGTGTTTTCCTTTTCCATATCCAGTATCCTAATAAAGAATTAATGTAGATAAGAAACGCGTCAAAATTTTCTGCGAATAATGTATACATACCCCAACATCACCTGTACCAGGGAAGAATTGTCCAAATTTGTGAAAAGAGCATGTGAGAACTCTATCAGTAGTATAGAATGCTTCTTCTACGCCATCGCCATGATGTATATCAATATCGATATATAATACGCGTTGATGAAATCTATAAATATATATGGAGTAAGTATTAAGAAAACATTGCGAATTAAAATAATAAAAGCTTTAGGATTAAAACCTTAATAATTCTAAAATCGCTAATACAATATCATTGACATAACAAAACCCAGAAGCTTCAAATCGTTTTGCATGATGAAGTCCACCTGACCAATTTATCGCTATGTCGGATTCTCCACTTATAAGTTTATTTGCAGCTCCTTTTCAGTTTACAATATTTTCAGACATAATATAACAGATACATTTTCATAATAATCTCGAAATCAAAAATAATATCTTACCTATTGAACCGCCAGCAGATATCGAGCAAAATTCAAATAACCCTTCAAATATTGGACAATCTTCTCCTACATTAACTTGTTAATTTTGCATCATAATTAATGCAATGAATTATATGTGAGAACAAATTTATTGATATATGCCTACATCTTGTTTGCTGCTGTGAAAGCTCTTCCACATTTTCGGGTGTCACTCTGTTTAGAAAATCAATGTATTCGTCGGTGTGAAATCGCGTCAATTGTCGAATCGAAGCACGATCGGGGCTCTAAGGTCGTAGTACATGCAAAGAACGCGTTTAAAAGTTAAGGATCTTTGAAAAGCTAATATTCTATTTTAATATGTAACAGTAACTATAACTTTGCAAAGTAAGGATACAATAACTTCCATTTTTTTGACTAATCCATAGTTCAACACTAAATCGTGAACCATACGCATTCTGTGCGGCTTCATGGGATGTCCTATGGTTTAACTGTAAAGAGTCAATAGATCAAATTACGTAAAGTTGATAAAAAATGACAAGTTAAGGAATGCTTCCATGCCTGCTCCATAAGTAAAGCTTCCGACATCCTCTTTTATAGTAAAGAGAAAAGGATGAGTATGTCAATGAAAAACCTTAACTTTTAATTAATTTGTGCTGCTTTTTACCATCATAAAAGTAAGAAACGCGCTTCTTTCCGATACTTGAAAGTGTAGTCATTTATTAATTCTTTTATAAATCAAAGATATGATGAGTGAAAACTATGTGATTTGTGGGTGTTTTTCCAAAATTTAAAAATTTACAACTCGCATTTAATGTTATTTATTTATTTATTTATTTTTAATGAATGAATTTAGTCTGATTAAAATGCCCGGCATAAAATACGCGGAATTTTATTAATTATTAAAAACTTGTCTGACATTGATATTAATTCTTGTCTCAGTCATGTATTCACCGAAAAGATGCCACTCTTTATCTTCATCATCGTTAAAGGGAGATAGATACGAAGGTAGAGTTCCTTCTATTATTCTTGGGACGCCTAAATTTTTTTGATATAATCTATATTAGCATCTATAAATTCCAATCAATGAAATATATATATCGAATATTACCAACCATGAAACCAACTCCGACAAGGAGGACACATCACTATAATATCACCGCTCTTTAAATACATAGAAGTTGGAGGAGTATCACGTGTTGATCCACCCATTAAAAATATACAAGTATGTCCGAGACTAATAGACACCAATGGTGCATTCATGTTAATCTCGCTTCGATCAACATGTCCCATTAAATTATCCCGTAAATGATAATAATTCACTACTCCAGCTTCAGCTCGCCATCTTTCTATTGGATAATTATTCACAAAACTTTTGTCAGTTAACTGAAGAGAATAAATTGATTTGACAATCGCGGTTGTTAAGTCATTAATATCTTTGGGAAATGGGTAACGTCGATCAAGATGGTAGGTTTTAGTAGGCCAATGGTATTGATAGCCTAATGTTGTCCATCGAAGCTTGCGAAAAAGTTGCGCTGGCGGAAGAATTGGAACAGTGGCGGATGGTAATGGATCAGATTTTGCATCAGCGACATTTGTAGCGGTGGGATTTAATTTTTTATTATCCTCATCAACCTCGGTATATAAGCCATTCGACGAAGCTTCTATCATATTAAAATTCACGGTGAAATCAGAAACGGTAAGCATTCATTATATTCATCAACTAATCTACCTTCATCATAATAGAAATCGTTCGTTGTCTGATTTTTGGTAGCTTTCAAAGGTGTATAAAATTCAGGATCATCTTCTGTTAATTCTCCCTTTATAACTTTTTCATGTACACGCCACAAGCCCTCCTTTGGTTATATGTTAAAAAAAATCCCTGGTGAGAAAATAGAAAACAACTTGCTATAGTTAATATCACTATAATCATTTATTCATATAGATTTATATTAAGGATTTATATTCATTCGT